CCCCCAAAAAAAAAGAATAGTCCATTTTGCTTTCATGGTGATCAAAAAAAAGTTTTGTTTTGTTGAGAGCAGCATGTTAATAAGCCCTTAAACATTGGTCTAATTGCTCTGTGCAGAGTGCCAGACAATACTGATGGAGCTGCTCGTTGCCATGGTGAGTGACAGGATCACAGCGGAGGAACTTGCCCTGTTGACACGCCTCTTCCTGGATAAGACTCCGCCCACTGTAAGTGCAACCCCACTTAGCATTTAAATGTGGTATTGTGTGCCAAAAACACTGCTTCTGTATATTTTTCCACAGAAAAGGAAAAGGTTTGAAACTACACAATACAAATGTGATCAGTGTGATCGAACAGGTTTATTTTTAGCACGGTGTCAGAAAGTGGACTGATGCAGAATGCCAGCCTTTGGATTGTCAATGCTGATATGAGTCAACCATGCTACGTTCATTATCATTCGTTTTTTTCAAGCATCTCTTTATGTACTTTGTTTCTGATTGCCAATCCTTTACTTCTGAGCACCTCTCCTGTCTTTAACACTCTAATTTACTGGTTTATGTGGTTTCTACATACTGTAGGTTAAAGATACAAAACACAAAGACTATTATTATAAATCTAGATATAAAGCGTTAGAATAATGATCTCAGTGATCATCTAGTCAGTTGTGGGAAAACTAGTCGACTAGGTGTTCATCCTGACACTTCTCTTGTATATTCGACATTTAAACATATAAATTTTGTGTTTTCTTGATTTATGTTGAACTGCTGTATCTAATCCTTGTATTATCAGGCTGTTTCCTGGCACCTACTGTTAGTGTTGTCTAAAGTACACAGATACACACGGGCGTGTTTGAAAGCCGCGTCTATCAGCAGATCCGTCTATGAGCAGTTATGTTAGGGATCCGCTGATAGACGCAGCTTTCAAACGCTCCCGTGTGTATCTGTGTAAGCACTCGGTGAAGAGCGTGAACGTCATCAGTGTGTGAATTTCATGAAACCTGTCAATTGGTCATATTTGCGAAGATTGCATTACGTCGGGCAGCACATTTCAGTGTGGATTGCTGCTCGAGTTCAACAAGTTTTGAAAGAAGTCTTTTCTGCTCACCAAGGGTGCATTTATTTGATCAGAAATACTGTAAAAATAGTAATTAGTATAGTGAAATATTTTTTCCTATCTAAAATAACTACTTTTTATTTGAAAATGTAATTTATTTCTGTGATGTAAAGCTGAATTTTCAGCATTATTACTCCAGTCTTCCTTCAGAAATCATTCTAATATGCTGATTTGTTTTTGCGTTTGCTTATTAATGATGAAAACAGTTGTGCTGCTTCATATTTTTGTGGAAACTGATATATTTTATTTTTCAGGATAAAAAAAAAAACAGCATTTATTTGAAATAGAAATCTTTTGATCAATTTAATGCATGCTTGCATTAAAAAAAGTCCTACTGACCCTAAACTCTTGAATGATATATGATAAGTATAAAACCTCAATTTCAGCAAACACGGCTCATATTTTCTTCATGAAATGCAGAAATCTTTATTTTGTTTTCATCATCCGTAGGAGATCTTGCTGAGAGGCTTGCTTCAGATTGTGGAGGCTAATGCAGACACGGAGCCGCTCTACTTCATGTCTTTTCCCATGATCCCTGGCGCAGGGGTCCCCGGCTTGAGCTCCTCTCCTGGGATTAGGCCTCATGGGACGGCTGGTGGTAAGGGTGGAGTAAACACTCTTTTGAGGGGTAAATTACCGCTGGGCCGTGGTGAAGCAGACATGAGCAGGCCCGGTCATCTGCGCAGCTCTCCCTGGCATACGGCACCCTTCCACCTGCCCTTAGTGGGACAGAACTGCTGGCCTCACATGGCGAGTGGCTTCAGCGCCTCGCTGTGGGTACGAGCGGGGAAGGATGAGGATGGGCGTTATAAGAAGGGTAAGAAGAAGAGCATTATTTTTTTGAGGTTTATAATGCAGATTAGTATTATTTATATGTTATAGCATTTATTTATATTTTAAATTCTTTTGTTTTTGTATTTTTAGTTTTAGTAATATTGTTGTGTGATTTTTCTTTTTTTTTCTTTTCTAGTTACCTTTTATTTTTATTTCAGTTTTAGTACTTGCACTTAAACTTAAATTTAGTTGCCAAGGCAACATTTTAAGTTTTTTTTTTTAAGTTTTTGATCATTATGTTTCACTTAAGCTTTAAAACAATTCTGGACAATATTTTTTTATAGTTTAAGTTTTAGTAGTGTTATGAGAGTTTATTTTTCGTTTTTTTTTATATATATATATATATATTTCTCTTTAAATTATATTTATTTAGGTTTTAGTTATATTAGTCCTTAAAATAATTTGTTATTTGCCAAGGCAAATTAGTTTTTCATCATTAATTCAGTTACAGACAACATTTTTAATAGTTTTAATTACATTTTTAATAGTGTTGTTTGTTTTTTATTCGGGTTTTTCTTTTATTTTTATTTTTTATTTCAGTTTTTGTAATTTAAGTTTGTTTTTCATATAATATTTGTTTTATTTTGTTTCACCTTTAATTCAATTGCCGAACATATGCGTTTGAATAGATTTATTTTTAGTTAACAATAACAGCCCTGAAACATGAACACCATCCCACTATATCTAAGAGGAGGTTTGCTGAGTTAGTTTGGCTGTGTGTTGCAGAAGAGGAGGCGTCTCTGTCAGAGGAGGCCCTGCATGGTCCCGCACATGTCACGGAGCAGCAGACAGACAGATGTCTCCTCCATGTCCTCTCCATGGGCTCTAAGGCGCTGATGCTTCAGGTGTGGGTGAACATCTCCACCGGAGCCTTTACCTTCAGGTGAGTGACATGGCAAAATTTGAACTTAAAGTTTTTTCTTCCTCAAAAGTGGATGCCAGTGGTGTTTCAGGAGGGCAGTAGATCTTACACAATCCACTGCAAATTGCAATGAACTATAACTCCTTTCTGATATAAAACACTATTTTGCATCGTCTTAGCTACTCCTGATGGATAGATTTAAGTGTCATTCTACATTATATTTTTTTCCTCATGTTGAATAACTAATAGGATTCCTGTAGCTAAAACAGTAGCGGCCATGGGTTTGATTATTATAATATTTAACATTAATGAAGTAGCAATGAATATCTGTTAACAGTAGTAGCACTGTGAACTAACATGAACATGAGCATTTTTATTAACTAAAATGAACAAAGGTTAATAATTGCTGTAAAAATATATTGCTTATTTTTAGTTCATGTTAGTTAATGGGACCTTATTGTAAAAGTGTTACCAATTTTTTTAGGGAATGCATGAACTGATCAAATGTATATTTTGAATGCAGTGTAAAGGCGTCTTCCAAATGCATAAATTTAAATGTAATTACAGTAATAATTTTTGGAAAGAAAATAGGTTGTGAATGCTGTTTTGTGTTGGGTAAAAAAAAGAATACTCTGTGCACCTTTAAAAAAAAATTTTTGATGTAGATTTCTCACTTTCAACATACTAACTAATACTAAACTAAAACTAAAATTTAAATAAAAATAAACCTAAATAGCTAATTTAATAATAATAATAATAATAATAAAATCTAAATAAATACATAGATAAAATCTATTTCAAAATAATAAATGATTGAAAAAAAAAAACATATATATAAAAGCTATAATAATAAATAAATAATAGTAAAATAACACTGGCTTGAGAATGTTATTGTGTGTGCTTTTGGAAAAAATGATTCATTTGCAAGGTTGGCATCTTCCAGCTGCTGCTTGTAGTTTCTGTGCATGAGCTCCAAAATGTATGTTTATGTTTTCCATGCTAAATTACAAAAGTAACTCTTTGTTTATGAATTCAGGATTTGCATCGATCCAAACGATGAGATGAAGGCGGGTCTGCTGGCCCAGGCGGAGTCTGGAGATGGTGTGCTGACGATAGGCATGTGGCAGCACTTGGCTCTTACGTACACACAGCAGCCTGAGGGCAGGAAGAACGTCCACGGTCAGCTGACCCTCTGGGTGAGCGGCATTCGGTGAGTCTGCCACTGCAATTAGTTGGTGGATGATTTAAATGGATAGTTCAACCAGGGCTGCAGACATCAGTTTTTATGCAGTCAGAATCATGTTTTAATCAAGCCTTCCTGTGCCACATACAGGAAGTGTGACGTCTCGCTAGACTTCACTCTGCCCAGGAAGTCCAGTTTGTCATCAGACAGTAATAAGACCTACTGTATGCTTGGACACTATCAGCACTCCTCAGAGGAGCAGGCCAGCCCAAGTGCATGCTGGGATATGGGCACATTGCTGCTCTTTAATGGTATGAAACCAGTTCTCATAGACCTTCCCTACGGTATATAATGATATCCCCTTTGAAATGTTTGTGGTTTTCATCAGATCAATCACACATATATTTTTAATTAAATCTAAAACTATTAAAAACATTCTTATTAAATGAAATTAAGCTGAAAATAAACTGCTGAAAAAAGCTGAAAAGTTCAAACTAAACAAAAATGAGAAATGTTGACTTGGCAACTAACTGAAATAAGTTAATTTGTCTTTTTATCTCACAATTTTGATTAGTTTTTTTTCTAGCAATTCTGAACTTGCAATGACCTTTTTTTTTTTTAATGTTTTGTTCCATGGCGGAAACAAAAAAAAAAAGTCAGAATTGCGAGAGAGAAACTTGCAATTGTGTGGGGGGAAAAAAAAAAGTCAGATTTCTCAGTTTATATCTCAAAAAAGTCCTATAAAAAAAACATTTTATTGTGGTGGAAAATGGGGCATAGATTAATAAAAGCTGTGAGAAATAGTTAGCTGATGCATTAAATAATGTTGACAAATGTTACCTACAAAAAAACAGTAATAGTATATAAATAGTAATCAATATCACTGCTTCGTGGTGTTGGAAAGATTATTTGTATGCGCTTTCAGTGGCAGTGATGTTGTTGGTAACGTGGGATTTTCCTGCTGCTGGAAGTTTCTGTGTGTGAGCCACAGATTCTCCACATTCCCTCCACACAACACACTTTTCTTAACAGAATAGCCATTCTGTTGCTACTAATAGGTCATGAATGGGCCCAGTCCAGCCGTTCCCAACTTATGAAACGCTCTAATGTGATTATGTGGTCCAGTGCTGCCCTCAATGTTTTTTTCCCCACTTTGTTTATTTGTCTTTAGGTCACAGCATTTCATCCACCACACTCTCTATTATTTTTCTTTCTTGTCTATTGTCGTTTGTCAATTCACATATTTTAGATTATATAGCGCAATGTCAATATTGTTGCACTAACTTGTCTGTAAAATATATGTTTTTGGTCTTGCCATTTTTTTTATGTCATGAGAGCGGTTTTTATCAAGACAAACTTTGAAGGACTTATTTTGTAAAATGGAAAAATATATATATATTTTTTTTATCATAAGTACATTTAATGAATATTTTTTAGAGTTGCATAAACAAATTGGTTGGTCTTTTTTTCAAAATTGAATTTCATAAAATGTTTGTATTTATTATATTATTTGTTAAAGCTGATATGGCAACTATTATAACTATTAGAAACATATTTGTTAATTCAAATGAAGCTGAAATAAAATATAAACGTTAGATCCAAAACCTAAACTAAACAAAAATTAGAAGTGTTGCCTTGTCAACTAACTGAAATAAGTTTACTTTAAATTGGTGCACTAAAATTAATAACTGGAAATAAATAAAAATAAATTAAATCTAAATACTAATTTAAAAACAATAATAACAGTGACAAAAAAAACTTCATAAATCTTAAAACATTGAAACATTCTTCATTTTTTAAATTGTTCATGTATTTTTTTTTATATTTTTGTGAAAAATGCAGGCATGTTTTCCACCCTTACTGTATTTTCATTAAAACAACACAGAAGAATTATATTTAATTGTTTAATTTATATGCAACAATACAGTATACAGTAATAAACTGTGATATTTGCCTACATATAAACTGGTTATTGGTTGTTTTAGGCTCCAGAATTGACACTGCGGAGGCTTTTTACCTGTTTGCCAGCGGGCCTGACCTCACCTCCATCATGCCCTGCAAGTACGGCAAGCCTCATGGGACACTATCCAAGTACGTGACACAGGAGGGTCTTCAGTGTGAGCAGATACGAGAGCTCCTCATGAGGAATACAGACGTTGACATCGCACCTCTTATTGTAAGCCACTGCATCTATGAATTTATTTTATTTTTTCCCAAATGTCACATATTTCACCAGAACACTTATGCAAATGTATCTGGCAGTGACATAGTTCAATAGCTCGTTTATCTCCTTCACTGCCACTGAAAAGCAGGCAACATTATTTGTCCATTTGTACATCATTTGCTGCTTGTTGAAGTGCCTTCTCTGTGCAGTTTTACCCACTGACATCTTAATTACCGGTGATTTTACGCGTCTGCATGCTGTTCCAGGTGTTCCTATGCTAATGCATTACATGCTCGATAATTACTGCCATCAGAAAAAGTCATTTCAGCACAAACCTTCATTCCTCATGGATGAATATGCTTTTTTTTCAGATCTTTTCTGACAATATCTAGTGCTAATATAAAGTATTGTACACATTTATCTAAAGAAATCTTGTCAGTAACCTGTCCAAGTTATATTTCACCTCGAGATTGAAAGAAAAACATTAACCCTGTCAGCCTGATATATGAAATAATAGTCAGAAAATCAAATTTTTTTTAAATGGAAGACTTTATTGAACCTTAAACAATAAAATAAATAAGAAAATCTTTAGACAAAATGTAAAACAAGTTTGCATATTTATTTTATCGAGTATCATGTTTTGGTACATATATGGCTCATATAGTGAGAATATGAAGAGAAAAATCAGTTTTTATTCAGAGGCCCAAACTGATAAAAAATTACTTAATTTGGTGCAGATGCTGATATTTATATATGGCCAAAAAGTAAGATGAAATTCTGAAGCTTCTAATGTAAATCAATGAGATCTTTATAACAGTACAGCAAATACTTGCATAAAATTATATAAATATCAGTCGTCACTCTGTATCTCCAATAATAGGTCTGAGTAAGATGAGATGCTTAGTTAGTAATCAAACATATAATGCAATGCAATCCAATGATGATTGAGAGATGAACAAATAAACGCTCCTCAAAAGGTCCTGATGATCAGATTTGAGACGCACTGATTTTTCTACAAAATTATTGATGTAGAATCAAGTAAAGCCAAGCTGCTTCATCTGGAAATATTACTTACAATATCAAAGATATTCTTACATTTACTATATAAATAAAGATTTAACAACAAAATGACGCGTGAAGCAAGAGCTGAAGGTGGACATTTGCACAATTTTACTAAAAGACCTTTTACTTGCTGAAAAAAAAACTCTAAACTATAAATCAGGCAACAGAAGGCACGATTGTGGGCAACAGGCTTAACAGCAAAGTTTGAAAATGTTGATTATTTACAGGCCTTAGAAATTCACTTAGTAAATATGAAACGGTAGGCTTTATAGGGTTAATAATATATTGGCATAAAAAATGAAGCCTATGTTTCAGGACAGTCAAGAATTTCCATTACTGTAGAGAAGGCAAACCTCACCGTTAGGAAAACCACTCGCTTCCACTTACTACTCTCACATTTAGTCCCACACTGCAAATCTGATCAGACCTTTAGATCTCTATGTTAGAGCCTGCATGCAACATTGAACTTTCATTTCAATCCGAACAAGAAAAATACTTTCCTTTGCCTGCATCTCAACATATGTGCATTTGTGTTTTTGCAGGAGAGTTTAGCAGTAGTTTATGCCCCCAGCATGCCGTCTCTCTACACCATATATGAGCCGGTGATCCGTCTGAAGGGCCAGGCCAAGTCAACGGTGGCTTCCCAGCGGCCCTTCAGTGCCAAAGAGCTTCAGAGCTCCATCCTGGAGCCTCCTTTCCTCAGGACCATGATGCCCTGCCAGGCTCTCGGCCTACACAGCGTCCTGCACAAGATCGGAGGCTCCGGCGCTTTTGTCTTCCTGTTTGCTCGGGTATGTGTTTGTCTGCATATTCATCACTAGAAGAGACCAGGAACGTGTGGAATGAGTTATCTGTCACTGCACTTCTGCACACAAACACACAATGGTTATGCATTTTGACCAGATCTTTTAGTTGAACTCCTTTTGTTGATGCTTTTTAACAAGAGGGATTAAAAAAAAAAAAAAAAAGACAATAAAGCAGTATTTGTTTCAACATATAAACAGAGATATCATGATCAGGTGAAAGTATTTCTTACTCTCTGAATCAGTCATACATTTTTTTAAATTAAAACATTATTAATATTTATACCATTATTTAATATAATGGATGTACTATTATAGTTTTACTATTATATTTTATTTTGTATATTTTCTGTTTTGATTTTAAGGTTTTAGTATTTTTTTTAAGTATGTCTTTGTAGTTTTTATTTATTAGTTTTAGTAATTTTAGTGCTCAGAAATTAGAAAAGTTGCCTTTGCAACTTGCTGAATTAAAATAAGATTCCGTTTTTCTATATTTTATTTCATGTCAACGTCATATGTAAAAAAAAAAAAATTGTGAACTTCTTGAATGCTGATTCACAAAAGCTCTGACTGTATTTGATGGCTGTGCTTTTTAATCAAAGCAGTAATGTTTGAGAGGCTGAGGTAAATCTGAATATTATGCTTTAAAGTCTCTAGTGAAGGTATCTTCAGTCTTTCCTTCATATTCCAGTACACAGTTTTTGCTGGTAATGTAATCTGATAATGTTTCTTTCATTCAGAGGGCAAAATTGGATTTTTGGTCAGCATGTTCTGGCCCGGGACGTTCTCTTTCACACTGCGTTCCCTCACATTATCCTTCAGACAGCTCTCGACAGTCATCTCAAAGCCTCGCTTTGTGTTTCTATCTTTCTCTCTTTCTCTCTCAGTCTCTCATGATAACAAAAACACAGAAGCACATATTACTGTTTTTAAACTAACATGCACTACCATTCAAAAGTTTGGGGTTAGTAAGAAAAATAAAACTTTTATTCAGCAAGGACACATTAATTTGATCAAAAGTGACAGACAGTAAAGGCATTTATAATGCTACAAAAGATTTCGGTTTCAAATAAATGCTGCTCTTTTGAACTTTCTATTTAGCAAAGAATCATGACATTTGTGGTGTTTACTCCATAATTTTGAGTAAGAAAAATTATTGACATGATCTAAACCATATATGTTGAAAAGCAACTAGTGTGAACCTTGCTGGGTGAGACCAAAAAAATAATTAAGGAGCAATGCTAATTAAGATAGCAACAGATGCTCATCCTTGGGTATGATGCCAAATAACTGACATTTATTAAATGATTAAATTTAGTGCAGATGGATCTAGTTGAGTTAGGTTTAGTTTGGCGCGCACGTTTGTTTCGCAGGCAGCATTAATAATCAAGTGTTGTTAGCTGAGGCTTCCTCTGTTCTGTGTGTTATAACACTGATCTAAGCTGATAGCCCACTTCATATTCACAATGTGATGTATTTCACGCATACAGTGATTTTAACGTCAGAATCACATTGTGCTTAACTCTTTCTGTCTGTCTGTTGTTTCTCATAGGTGGTAGAGTTGAGCGACTGTGAGAAAACTCAATCTCTGGCGCTGCAGCTGCTGCTGTCTCTGGTTAAAACCAACCAGCATCGCACTCATGAGATGCAGTGTTACCACGGCTATTCCATGATTCACCAGGTTCTCATCAAGCCCAAGTGCATTGTGGGATACCACGTTCTGAAGGTGAGTTTTAGCCTATGCATTATATATTAACAGTATTTTTAGAATTATTTTACAATTTAAAATTAAGCAGCAGCATGAAAATCGTAATATTTTATTCTGCTTTTTATTTGGTCAAAGTTTCCTAGAGATGACTCTTAATTGAACATGATAGTTCCTTTAATTAAAAATCTTTTGGTACATATTAATTATCATAAATTAGCTGGAAATTTATTTTAATTTTTTATTTTTCAGCGCTCCGCTGCTTTAGTTATTTTAGTATCATTGATATACTATTATAGTCTTTGTTTACATTTTTTATTATATATTTTTTCACTTTAATCTTAAAATCTAGTAATTTTGTTGTATGCTTTTGTCATTTTTATTTTATTTTTTTAAAAATATATTTATATATTTTTTGTATTAGTTTTAATTTAATTTTATATTTATATTTTTCTGTTTTCATTTTGTTGTATGTTCTTGTAATTATTGTTTTAAAAAAACATGTCTATATAGATTTTATAATTTTTTTTTAGTTTTGATTTTATTGTAGTACTTCAATTTAAAATAAATAAAAATGAGAATTTTTTTAAAATTTAATTTTAGTTAACTTTCATTATTTCACTTTTAGATTTTCTGTTTTTACTTGAATTTTAGTTAAAGTTGTAGCAATTTTGTTGTATGTTTTTGTATTTTTGTATTTGTTTAAATATTTTGAGGTAACTTTTTATTTCAAGTAACAAAATGTTTTGTTTTTTTTAATGGCTTCAGTTTTAGTTAACTAATAAATCTGTGCACTTGTACAGTTGTTGTACTAAACAGCACACCCTGCTGGTTGTCACGTTTAATGCAGACTGACAGTGAGAATGTTTTGTCCCTCAGTATATTCTTGTTTTCTGAAATACATCAGATTAATGAGACTGAAAAATACTTGCTCTGTTTTTGCCTTCTGAATACTGCTGAAGTTTGATTTTAGACTGCAGCTCAGCAAATGTGTGTGTGTGTGTGTGTGTGTTATAGACACTGTTGGACGGCTGCTGCAGCGGGTCAATCCTTGCGATCGGAGAAGACAGTCAGTTCCATCTGGATGCCGAATCCACTGTGGTGCTGCAAGATCTCAGACTACTTTCTGAAATACTGCTGGACTGGAAGATATGGGCCAAAGCACAGGTACACACTCACATCTGAATGAGAACATACCATAGAGTTTGGTTATTTTTATAGAGAGCTTATTGTAGTGGCTGTGTGTGTGTGTGTGTGTGAGATAGTGTGGCGTGTGGGAGACGCTGCTGACCGCTTTAGAGATCCTCATCCGGGTGCATCATCCTCAGCAGATGTTCAACATACGACAGCTTCTCAAGGCCCAGGTGGTTCATCGCTTCCTGCTCGCCTGCCAGGTGCTTCAGGTGAGATGTTCATTACACAGACAAACACATAAGGTCTAGTGAGTTTAGATTGTAATTTTTTTCTTAAGTCTTTCTCAAGTTTTCTGTCGGCTGTCCATGAGAGTCAACTACTGATGCCACAACTTTTTGGTAAAATTTCAGTTTTGGCCGAAAAAGTTTTGCTGTTCCTACTATCCAGTTATTGCAATAAGCTTTGTTTTTTTGTTATTTTTATATGAAACAGTCTTAGCTTTTCAAAATCAAATTTTTTTTTTTAAAGAAATTCAAACAACTGTGGTTTTGATGCTCTTTATTGTGGCCTGACATTACTGTAGCTGCATCAGTCAAGCGGCACTTCGAAAAATGTCAGTAAAACTTCGTATTTCCCTAATTTCCTGCCATTCAGTGTCCATAAACGCTAGAAAAAAATAAGCCTGGAGAGATGCATTTTACTAAATATATGCTCTATATTTTTCTTAAACTGCTGTCTTCATTATTTAATATATGTCTGAATAATTCTGCCATGATAACTTACATTTTTTAATATTTCAACACCAAATTAATTTATCAAAAAAGTATGTGTATATATTTATATCAGAACATGCTGACCAAAAATCCAATTTTGCCTTATATATTTTTTTTTTTTACATTTTAATGTATTATTTTTTATTTTTTGGAATGTTGATTGATTTTTAAATACATTGAATAATTAGTTGATTATTAAATAAATTAAAACTTTTCGGTTTTCTGCTAAATGAAAACTTTCAGTTTTCAGTGTTTCAAAAAAAAAGTGATTTCAGCGCATCATTAGAAACATCATGGAGAAAGAGTATGAAACATACAACCAAGTGCCATTCACGATGTAATTAATGCAGGAAAGAAGACCATAATGCATTTTGGAACATCATCTTTATTATTCTCATAGGAGCATCGGGACGAGTACCTGACCTCCATCCCACAGGAGGTCTGCCTCTCGTTTGTCAAAATCATCCAGGAGGTTTTGGGGTCTCCTCCGGACCTGGACCTGCTGCGGCTGGTCTATAATTTCCTGCTGGCTGTTCACCCCCCCACCAACACATACGTCTGCCACACCCCCACCAGCTTCTACTTCTCTCTGCACATCGGTGAGCAAACCTTCAGAAAACCCCAGTCTGATCAGAATGAGTCATTAAAGCAATAGTTTATGATCATTCTGTCATCATATGACTTCATTTCTTCTGTGGAACACAAAAGAAGATGATTAGCAGAATGTTCATGCTACTTTTGCCTTATTGATCCACAGAAGAAGAAAAATTATACAGGTTTTGAGACAGCGAAATCTTTTTTGACCTTAACTCAGGGTTTCCGCGGGTCCTTAAGTCTTTAAATTTAGTTTTATAAATTAAGGCCATAAAAATTCTTAAATAGTAGAAGAAAGTCTTAATTAGGATTTCAAGAGGTTTTAAATTTGGGGACGGAAAGACCAGAATTGCGACTTGCCTTAATGTGCCGATTAAACTTCAAAAGGTGATGTTTCTGGCCTTCTGATTTAAATAAGGTATAATTTCTAACCATATTTATACGCATTTATAGCAATGCTGATAGTATTTTGACAGTCAAAAGGGAAAAAATGCATAGATCATGTTTATCTCGAGATTTCTGACAAGCAGGTTAACCTGCTTTATTTTCATTTTATGGTTGCAGTAGTCTAGCATCGAGCTTACAGCTCATTCTTCCTCATTAGTAATCATTCTTTCTGCATATCCTGTGTAGATTTGATAGTAAACAAGAACATTTTAGTTCATGCATGTTTTTTTTCATCAGATGGTAAGCTGTACCAGGAGAAGGTTCAGTCCATGATGTACCTGCGGCACTCCAGCAGTGGAGGGAAATCAGCCTGCAGCTCTGTGCTTTCACTGTCTCCCACCGTCTTCACAGAGACGCCCGCTGAAGGTAACGCATAACTGCCGCCCATGAGAAGGTCAAAATAAACAAAAAGTCATGCTTACTCATTCTGTTGCACTTTACAAGCATTATTCATTGAAAATGTCCTTGTCTGACTGGATGCCACTGCTGCGCCTTAAGCTTTGAAACACGTGACCTTTGACGAATACAAATCAATCACAGCGCTGACCTGCCTGTCAAGTCAAATCAAATTCATTCATATAGTGGTTTTCACAATGCGCTTATTTGAAAGCAGCTTTAGAGAAAATCATGATTTTAATGTTTATATTATCTTATTATCTTCATGCCTTATAAGCCAGGCTTCCTTCCAAGGATTTGTTTGGGAGGGAAGGCTTAGTGCATAGCGTATAAGTCTTTTTTTTGTTTAGCTTTAGTGCATAAATTCTATATTGATACTTAAAATGTCACAAAAACTAGTCTGGAAACACTTATTGTCAAATCTGAACACGAAAAACTTGTCATTGTCAAACTTGTCCTGAAAACGTAGATTCTGACTAAATGTTGTGTTTTTTGGTCCCACAGTACGCCACGCTTCGTCCCCCGAGCATGGAGATGAAGATCTGTCACTGCGTCCCCCAAGCATGGGCCCGTCTCCACACTCTTCTCCAGCCCTGATGCCCCGTCTGACCCATGGGAGCGTGACGGGGACCGCCAAGCCTGAAGAAGGGACGTCCCTGAGTACCCAGCAGGACCTGGGCAGCACGGAGACCTTGAAGCGAGGAGGAGATGAGCTCCTCAGCAGCTGTGAGTCTGCAAAGACCATTTGTGATTCCCAGGATGTGGGCGGTGATGAGGAGGGCAGTGTCGTGGGAAACCAAACGCCATTCATCAATGTAGAGGAGGAGCACGACAGCAGCCTGCCAGACTCTGAGGACCATTTCGATTGGACCAGCGAGGAAGCGCCACGCCGGCCAGACAGCCTGAAGGGAATCCAGTCCTTCCAGAGGAGCCACAGTAACCTGGCCAGTCTGGGTTTGGCTTTTCCCGCACAGAACGGCTCTCTGACTATTGCTCGCTGGCCCACCGTGGCTGACCGTGCCGCTCCACCGGATGACTGGGAAAGTTACACCTACTCACCCGGGTATGACAGCAAGGCGGACTCCAGTAATGACAGGTACTCTGAAAACACCAGATGATTTTATATTGTTGAAAACCCTAGCATTTTGAATGTGGAGGTGAAAAAATTGTAGCCAGCATATTAAACATGATAAAACTGAAGTAGCAAAATATCTTTTCTTCTGGATTGTGATGTATATCCGAGTGTAACGGATTATCGAGAAAGAAAAATGTAGGGCTGTGCCTAGGGATATGCCGGTATCAGATTTTCATGTTGCGATTAATTGCTCATGCTTTTATCACGGTATACGGTATTCTCACAATATTTAAATTTAGTTTTTAAAAAAAAAGTGCTGTCATAATACAGTATAACAGGTTTAATAACTTTTTTCTTATTACAAAAATAACTGAACATTTAAATGCAATACAGAAAAATGTATAAAGTTAAAAGTTTTACACAGATTAAAGTGCAAAAGAACTATAAAGACCAATAGGTATCACTTTACAATAAGACCTCATTAGTTAACCTTAGTTAATGCATTAACATTCACAATGAGCAATAGCTACATTTGCTACAGAAGTTATTAATCTTTGTTAAAAAAAAAAATACAAGTCTTAGTTCATGTTAGCTCATTAAATAACACAGTTGCAGCTTTCGATTTTAACAACGTGTGATTAAATATTGGAATACCTAAGATTAATGAATGTTCAGAAGAATTTTTCATTGGCAGTTTAACTAATGAATTAACTAATGTTAACTAATGAAGCCCTAATGTAAAGTGTGACCGAACAACAAGGAATCAAAACACTTTCAAACAATATCTAGGGCATGTTGTAGTCCAGATTAAAATGTAAAAAAAGTTTGAAAATAAATAGCCTATTAAGTCAAAATATTTAAGTATTTGGCGCGGTGATGAACATCAGAGCAAATACACAAATCTGAATGGCTATTTAAATCATTTAAACACCATTCAGAAACAGAAAGTAGTGCAGCTGCTTTACTTACAGGGTTTCCGGGGTAACGGCTGCATTTCTGCAGTTTAGCTTCATCTGCTGTCAGAGAGTGAGTGCGCTTTCATCCAGAGCGTCATGCGCTTCTCGTCCGCGCTGGTTTACATCAGAGTGCACACGCGTCTCTCACGCAGCATACAGCGCTGTTGTGCATTTTGACCAGTTGATGGGAAAAGTATTCTTAAAAAGCATCAAAATTCTGAATAATTTGTAATATATACTTATTCACGGTATTTAGAAGTGCCCACGATAACAATATCGTGCATATTCATTACCGTGATATACCGCATTACCGAATACCGGCACAAGTCTAGCTGTGCCTCAGTTCTGTGCATTGTTAGTTGATTGGATGTTGAGGTGTGGGTGACGTTTAATCACATTAGATGATTTTAGAACAAAATGTCTCATCATTTAATTATGATCAATCCACATGAGAAAAGTAATCATTAACCAAAATATTTTTTTATATATATTCTTGCCGTGATAATATTTTAGGCCAAATTATTACACTTCAGTGTTATTTTAGTATAACTGATATGCTGTTGTAGTTTTTGTTCATTTTTGTCTACATCTAATATGTTGAATTAGATTTTTTTTTTTTCTGTTTTCACTTTAACTTTATACTAATATAGTGTTTTAATAATTAAAATGATTATTAATTGTATTATTATTATTCATATATTAATTTTAATTTATTTAGTTTTAGATATTTTACAAACTAAAAGAAAATGAGGAGTGTTGCAACAAGCTGAAATAAAATATTCTTAATATTTAATTTTTTTTATTTTAATTAATGTTTATTTTATTTCAAGTAACTAATAGTGTTTTGTTGTTGTTTTTAGTTTTAGCTAATGATAATAACTTTTAATAATAACATTTAAATAAGCTTTTTAAATGGTTTGTAATGCTTTCTAATAGGGCTGCACAATTAATCGAATTTTCTAATCGCAATTACAATTACATAATCATTCAAAGCAGCAATTAATCATTCAAAGTCCACTTATGTTATTCTGCATGCTTAAGATGCTTTTTTTTCTTTTTCTACATGTTATCTTAAGGGTTTTTCCATTGTTTTAATTTTAGTATTTTAGTATAACATTATAATACCATTCATATTTTTACCTTTTTATTTAAAGAGAAACCAATCCGATGTATATTTGACATTTGAGGCTTAATACTATAGAAAAGCAATAAGTTTTTCAGTTAGTGTTTCAGCTTGTTTATTTTCACATAAAAATATGGCATGTAGTTGCATCAAACAAAGATGTAAACATCATTCATTTAATCGCAAATGAATAATCGCAATTACAATTTCAAAGGAATAATCAACAATTATGATTTTTGTCATAATCGTGCAGCCCTACTTTCTAAGTTAGTGTATCTGTGAAAAGTAGGCATTTACAATAAAATCATGCAAAATAGTTTCATGCACATATCCTTTTTTTGTGTGGAGCTGTCTCCAGTAAGAAAAGCCATTGTGACTGTAGGACAGCCCTGGAAATGGTAGAGTCCCTAGGTAGTGTGCTTACTACTGAACTAGGGAGCGAATTGAGTCACCTCAGAATCGTTTAGACTTTCTCAAATTTGTTGCATGGTGTGTGTGTGTGTAGTTGTTCTAGATGTGTGTAATATATCCAGGGAGCTCTTTTAAATTCCTTGTGATGAATAACACCCTTTAATTATGCTAATTTCTGCCGCTGAGTTTTGGAGATTAATGACTTGTAATATTAGCCTTCATTTATAAGTTACATCATCTCTTTAATGTGCTCTTTCAGTCAACAGTTACTGGGTAATTGCCTCCTGTCTTCGCCATTGCCTTTCCTGCACTAAAGATATATCCCATCTACTGAATAATCACTTACACTCATTAAAAGTTAACGACTTTAACTCTAAACTCCAATCCACAAACCATATTTCGGCCTTACAGATGTGTCTGAGCTGTCATTAGGGCTCTTGTTGGGAAACACTTTGCTTCTTTTTTTATCCAATTCTAACAATGCCGTCTATCAAATATTGATTTCCCTTTTGTTTATACTGTTATCACAGTATGAGTAATTTTATATCATGATAACATTATAGTTATTTTTGTGACAATTCGATAATAAAAAAAAAAGGGTTGTATTTTGCGTGCTGAGTGTTTTTCGGTTAACAGGCTCTGAGTCACCGCTGAAGATCTGACGCTTCTCCACTCCTCAGTGATGATTTCATGTGTGTGTTTTCTGAATCATTCAGGTCCAGTGCTGAAGACTGTCTGGTTCTGATCTGCTGCGGTCTGTATGATCTGCTGAGAGGAGTTCTGCTCCTGCTGCCGGACCTCCTGCTGGAGGAGGTGATGGACAAACTTGTCCAGCCGGAGGCTCTTCTTGTCCTGGTCAACCACTCTTCTCCTCTCATTCAGCAGGGCGTCATGAAGGTCCGCTCGCGTTCAGCTGTCTTTGGGTAGTTGACAAATGAACAGGACTGTTTTAAGGTCTAATTTTAAAGGTCTTGCAGCATGACAGAAGTATTAAAAAAAAAAGAAATATGCCACATGAGCTCAAGAAAACTGCATGCAAAATACTTATAAACATTTAAAAATGCTGTGTAAATTGGTTTTAGATCACACGTTTCAATTAAACTGTTAGACTCCCATGTACTGCATCCACACAAATGTATTTTATGCTTATTAATGTGGAAAATCTTTCTATAATGTGGACAGGACTGAATCAATGAACATGAATCATGCTTCCACATAAATATTATATACTGTGTGCATTTAATAGAATTAAAAACTCTCCCTCTTTTTTATTTTCTCTATTTTTAGGGGAATATATAAATTCATGATCAGTTGTTTTTGAAAATAGCCCCTATTTGATAATGTAAATAATATTTCTATTAACATTCTGTATTTCACAGTTTATCATTAGGATCATCACACTCGCACTGCAGGGCAATTTTTACATTTTGTCCTTGAAATTTCTAAGAATTAAACAATTTAACTAAATAATTTGTTTATGGACAAATTCGGAAAATATAAGATGCACTATTTCCTTTAGGACTGTAAAATGACTGGCCTTTCACTGTTTCTCCATTACTGTTTATCGCATCTGCTGCTTTGGTTTGTTTGATATGGAAATAGTTTGTTAGTTGATTGACCAGTTTTATTGATCTCTCTGATAGATGGGAGATTGAGTAAGGGGTTTTATTTATTTATTTTTATGTCTTATCTCATACATGCATGGATACACAAAACATGTACATTTATTTTTGTAGCTTCTGGACGCCTACTTCAGCCGCGCTCAGAAAGAGCAGAAGGAGAAGTTCCTGAAGAATCATGGGTTTTCGCTGCTAGCCAATCAGCTGTACCTGCACCAGGGCTCACAGGGTCTGCTGGAGTGTTTCCTGGAAATGCTGTTCGGACGACCGGTCGGACTTGAGGAAGAGTGAGTTTGCCAACCATCTAGAACTGAAGACATGACCATGAGTGCTGACAGCCTGATAAGATGCCAGCTATAAATGTTTATTTTATTTTATTCATTTGCTAAATTAAATTGAAGTTTGTATTATTTTTATAAAAAAATATATTATAATGTTATATCTGATATTATATTATAACATTATTATTGTTATATATTATATAATATATTGTTAATAATAATAAATATATTAAATATGTATATATTATTAGAATATAATAATTTGTGTGTGTGTGTGTGTATATATATATATAGCATGTATATGTGTGTGTTTTCTTATTTATAATATAAAAAACTTACTAAATTTAGTTTACAACATTTCTATTTTTAGTTTTTTTTAAGTTGAAGCTCTAAATAGATAACTAATTAGACATTTTTAATAACAAAAACATATAACAAGATTACTAAAACATTGTATTAGTTGAAAATAAGTATTAGTAGTCAAATATATAAAATAATTAAAATCTTTTTAAGTGGGAGAACTTGCACAATTGGTGCCTGACTAAATACTTTTTTGCCCCACTGTATGTATATATATATAAATTGTGAAGACACATTGACAATAGTGGGGGTTTTTTTCTTTGTAAAGATTCTTAATGTTTTAATGTTGCTGAATATTTATTTTAATTAATATTTGTGAAGAAACACATTCAAGGATCTCATGCAAGATTTCTGCTACATGAAACTTGCTTAATTTCTACTAAATGAACCCAGCAGCGTCCTTGTTAATGACGACCACTATTCCCTCTTCTCTCAGTCTGGATCTGGAAGATATGGAGAACATCTCCCCGTTCAGGAAGCGCTGTATCATCCCTGTGCTGGGTCTGCTGGAGAACTCTCTGTATGAGAACTCGCTCGTGCACAACGGCCTGTGTCTGCTTCTGCAGCTGCTCAACGCCTGCCCGAAGCTAGCCGACATCCTGCTGGACCACGGCTTGCTCTATGTGCTCTTCAACACACTGTCCACCCTCAACGGCCTGGAGAACGGGTAATGTACCGTATTTAACATCAGTGATGGGGAAACTGCTTTGAAACTGTAGCTGGCCAGTCTACATGGTGTTGTTCAATTCAATTCAAGTTTATTTGTATAGCGCTTTTCACGGTACAAATCGTTGCAAAGCAACTTTACAGCAAATTAAGTTTCTACAATATTTAGTAGTAGCTTATCAGTGGTGACTGTCAGTCAATATGGCAGAAATGTACGGAAAAATCAATTAAAGACGTAATCAAACAGACGATGAACACTATTAACAGCAATTATTATATGATGCAATCAAACTTATAGCAAAATGTGGTAGTTCTGTATGTTGTTTCAGGGTTGGCATCATCTGAGGTCCTCTGAGGGGTTGCATCATCTCTTCTCAGGTGTTCTGGATCCAGACTGAAGCTTGTGTAAATCCTAGTTACCACGGGATGTTAATCCCAGCAGAAACAGAGAAACAAATAGAGACATAATTAGCGTAGCTGCTGTTCCAACCCAGCAAAATTGATTTGTTCAACCCAAGTTAAAAAATAATAATTTGATCAGATATAACTGCAGTAAAAGATTGAGATGCATTATTTGAATGCTTGGCCAAAGAGATGTGTCTTTAATCTAGATTTAAACAGAGAGAGTGTGTCTGAACCCCGAACGTTATCAGGAAGGCTATTCCAGAGTTTGGGAGCCAAATGCGAAAAAGCTCTACCTCCTTTAGTAGACTTTGCTATCCTAGGTACTACCAAAAGTCCAGAGTTTTGCGACCTTAGGGAGCGTGATGGATTGTAGCGTGGTAGAAGACTAGTTAGGTACGCAGGAGCTAACCCATTAAGGGCCTTATAGGCAAGTAATAACATTTTGTAACTGATACGGAACTTAATAGGTAGCCAGTGCAGAGACTGTAAAATTGGTGTAATATGATCATATTTTCTTGACCTGGTAAGGACTCTAGCCGCTGTATTTTGGACTACCTGTAGCTTGTTATTGTTGTTGCTCTGTAGGATTCCTCCGAATGACTACAAGCTGGTGGTGTGTGACATTCAGCAGCTGTTGGTGGCCGTCACCATCCACTCCTGCAGCTCCTCGGGATCTCAGTACTTCCGCATCATTGAAGACCTGATCACCCTATTGGGCTACATGCAAACCAGCAAAGTTCGGCGCACACAGGGTAAAGAAGACTAATACTTTTATATGGCAATGATATGTGACTTGACATTCAAACAAAATGGGAAATTCTGTTGTCGTTTCAGAAATGGCCACAGCACTGCAGTTCTGCGTGATCCAGGCAGCCATCGATTTCATTAAGACCACGGCCAATCAGGACCCTCAGAAATCCAGCAGCTATGTTCACGTGCCCACTTCACCGCATCACGCTCTACAGCAGAAACGCAAAAGCATCGCAGGTGAGGAGCTTTAGAGGTCAAAGGAGTTGGTGTTTGTCTCATTTATGTGATGCGTTGGGTTATTGAAATGCCTTTAAAAGCATAGTTCACCCTAAAATTTAACTTTGGTCATCATTTACTCACCCTAATGTTGTTATTTTATTATTGTGGGTTATTTTAGTAGTGTTATTTTAGTATCATTAATATACTGTTATGGTTTTTATTAAAATTTTGAATTAGTATTTGAATTTTTTTTCTTTTTGTATTTTCTGTTTTAAGTTTAGTTTTAGTCATTTTGTTGTGCTTTTTTTTTTAGCTATATATTTGTCTATTTAGTTTCTGTTTGTTTTTTAATTGTTTTAGTTATTTTAGGACTTCAAGCTAAACTGTTTTTTTTTTTGTTACATTTATCATTTATTATTTTATTATATATGTTTATTATACTTTCATTATATATACTTTTTAACTTATTTTGAAAAAGTAATGTTAATGTTTTTTAATGGTTTTAGTTAGTTTCATTAATGTTCATTCAGTATATTAAAAAAAATCCATAGTTTTTATTATGGGAAAAACTTTGGAAATGAAATAAAATATTTTCAGATTTTTTTTTAAAAGAGATATATATAACCATTTAAACTAAATTGTTACACCTTTTGTATTCAGGTGACTTTACACATTAAATTATGTTGATAATTTTTTATAAAAAAATGTTTTTTATATCTATTAGTTAGATTTGTTTGAAATTGTAATGTAAAATACATTTCTTTCCCGTAACTCACACATTTTTTAGGACAGAATTTTGTTGGTAAATTTGAATATGCACGTACTAACACACTATAAACACACAAAAGCTGTATTTCCATATCCATATGTCTGTTACATCTCATTCATGTTGTCTTAACCATCAGCCCTGGATGTTACGGATCACCGTTCATGTGTTTCTGTTGTATTATCACCTCCCCTCACACTCCCAAGGTTCAATGGGGCTGAAAGACTCCATAATTCCCCGTATTCCCCGGCAACACTACTGTTCGTACGGCCTGATTCCTCTGCCCTCCCCGTTCAGCTTCCTGTCCCAGGATTCCCCCCTCCCCTCCCCTACCGGAGCAAACTCCTACATGTTCCCCTCAGACACAGGTAGCCTTCGACCCTATCCGCAAAAAACAGGTGACAACATCCTGGCTTTCTCAGGGATGTTGAGCGTGTGCAGTGAAATGATTAAAGCATGTCTGCTGCTCATCCGCCCAGTGTCCTGGACTACTGGTGCCTGTGTGTGTTGTCCTCAATAAACTCAGAGTTGCTCCAGGACTCTTAAGACTCTTCCTGCAACTCTGCCTGTTGATTTATCATTCACATTCTCTCTCATTTACACCTGGCATTAACATCATATATTTTTTTAAGAAATTAATGCTTTGATTCAGCAAGGATTCATTAAATTGATCAAAAGTGACAGGAAATACATTTATAATGTTACAAAAGATTTATATTTCAAATAGATGCTGTTCTTTAACTTTCTATTCATCTGTGAATCCTGAAAAATAAAATGTATCACAGTTTCCACTAAAATATTGGGCAGCACAACTGTTTTCAACATTGATAATAAACAGAAATGTTTCTCGAGCAGCAGATCAGCATATTATACTGATTTCTGAAGATCATGTGACACTGAAGACTGGAGTAATGATGCTGAAAATACAGCTTTGATCTCAGAAATCAATTACATTTTAACATATATTACAATAGAATACAGTTATTTTAAATTGTAGTAATATTTAGCAATTTTACTGTATTTTTGATCAAATAAATACAGCTTTTTTGAGCATAAGAGACTTCTTTCAAAAAATCATACTAGGATGCATGTTGCGTTTCAGGTGTAAATGACAACCTGCCTAGGCTAACCTCTTAATCATCACTTATGGTGGATGTTAATACCTGCATCTGTCTGTCTCTCAGTCTGTCTGTCAGTCTCTGTGTATTTGTGTGATTTATGATGCTCTGCTGTTTACACACAGTTCCTTTAGTTCAGTAAGCATGTTGTTGTGTGTTTTTATCAGGCCGGAGGCGGTTCACGGTGGCCCAGTCAGACTCGCTGCTGACGCGAATGCGCTCGGTGGCCAGCGATGAACTTAACCAGATGATGCAGCGCAGGATGAGTCAAGAAAACCCCATCAGAGCCAGCGAGACGGAGCTGGTCCAGAGACTGCAGAGACTCGTGGTTCTGGCCGTTAATAGACTCATCTATCAAGGTACAGAAGACAAACATCAAATCTGTGATTAATATCTGCTCATAAACATTATCATCCGCTGTGAGCAGCCATTACAAAACACTTGAATGCAATTTACGTGCTTCTGAAAGTATATGCACTACCTACCATGGTACTTTTTTGTTAGTGATAAGAATCAATCCATGTAGACTGAATAAATTTGTCCCAACGCTGACAGTTTGTCATTATTCTCCAGACATCAAACATGATTTCTTTGACTTCCTAAACTTTCCCGAGTCTCCTGATCATTTGATGTCTGTGCCGTTACTTGGCGAGCAGACGACTGATGAGAACGGCTCCACGCAGTCCACCCCAGTCCCACCAAGAAACATGAAGAGCTTCCGGAAAGATATTCTCAAACTAATGATGGAGGGCATAAAGATCGGCTTGGTAAGTTATTTGCAGTAGACATCAGCATGGCAGCAAATTACCCTTTTTTTGTTTGTTACTGGTTTTATTTTTGCATTCAGCACACATTATTTCAGATAAATCAAATGTTTAACTCTGCCTTTGAATCAACATCTTTTTAACTGATGAGACCGTAATCTTTGAATTGTCTTCATTTGGGGGTCTTTCGCAGCAAATATGTATTTGATTATGTATAATTAATTTGATTAATTAATTAGTGTATTATGTAATTCATTAAATGTATTAAAAAAAAAAAAGTTTGACATCCCTATAATTAATAAACAGCAATATTCTCTCACACACACACACACACACACACACACACATACATATATATATATATATATATATATATATATAATATATTATTTTTTTTATTATTTTTTTTATATATATATATATAATATTTTTTTTAAACAATTTTAAGCAAAAAAAAAGTCTTAAGTCTTTTGCTTTTTTTATTTGGCCATTAGGTATCGCAAAGACTGTTTATTATCATTAACTAAAACTTAACTCAATAAAAGTGTTAGTTGAAATGAAGTAAACATTAACTGAAATAAAGTATAAAAAACTTATTTTATTTCAGCTAGTTTTCATTTAGTTTCTAAAACTGAAACTTCATAAAAATTAAATAGTCATGTTAAAAAAAAAAACAGAATAAAGACAAAAAATTACTAAAACAAATTTTTTTATATGAATCTTGTGACAAGAAAGGATTGTGAAAGTCTATTGCTGTGTTAATTTAGTATCATTTATATACTATTATAGTTTTTGTTCATATTTTTAATAGATTTATTTATTTTTTAAATATTTTACATGGTCTTTGCAATACCTAATGGCCAAATAAAAACACAAAAGACTTTAGCCTGTGATAAATAGGAGTGCTCCGATTGATTGGCTACCGATCGCCGTCGGCCAATAATCGCTTTGGGTAGTTTGATCGGCGGTCTCTATAAAGGCCGCTCTCCAAACACACTCAAAGTGCGCACACATAAGGCCGCCTCACATACAGCTCATGAAATCAGGCTTGTGCTGTGTGTAAGCTATTGTGCAGCAATAGCAATTGCCCCATTGTAAAAACAAAAATGCACTGCATGATCAAATATTCTGGAGAGATGATTATATATTTTTGAAATGCCCCCTCAAATTAAAAAAAATCACCTAAGAGGGAAATTCCCCCCATTTTCAAAAATGAAATTCAGGCCCTGAGTGAATGTCTGTAAAAATCCTGATTGGAACATCACTATAAATAATTTTACATGATAAAAAGAAGACTTCAAAAAGATCGGTTGGTGATCGTATCGGCAGATACTGCTTCCTGTGATCAATGATCGGTGATTGGCTCCAAAAATCCCGATCGGAGCACCCTTAGTGATAAATGCTTATGTCCTTCTGTTGATTCTTTAAGACAAAGTGTCCCTCACTAGCCCTGCACTCACTAACACTAACTTTTGTGATGGTTCATCTCCTCAGGGCAGCACCGGTCGTGGAGGCACTCCTCGCCAGCAGTGGAAGCGAATCCTCTGGTCCTGCCGTGACACGTTCAGGGTCCAGATCGGCCGCATGCTGGTGCACACGCTCAGCCCCGCCGTTCCTCTGGAGGACAGGAAGGAGGTGCTAGATTTCGTCCACGAGCAGAGCTACTCAGAGATCCTCAGAGAAAGCCTGAGTCCCGGCCTAGAGGTGAGGGCGCTGCAGTCTGACAAGCTGACATGTTGACAGAAATGGCTTTTTGTTTTTACATGCCGACCAGAGACGGTGTGACATTTTGCTTTGGTTATTTGCTGATCAGATTTGTGTATCCAATCAAAGCACAGCCCACATGCACACTTCCTCTGTTGGGAGGAAGACCGTGACATTTCACTGCTCTGCTTCTGACATACAGTAAATAACCCACAGAAACATTTTCATGATACTGTTTCCATGGCAGCAGTGCCGTCCTTTCTCTATTATCCTGCAGACTGGTACTAAAAAGACCATTAACCCTCAGAAACCCAGCATAACAGAACTGCAACATTTGCATAAAGCAATTAACTAACACCTAATTTTGACTAAATGAGGGTAAAAACTACACGACAGTAGCTGGTACTCTGAAATTTATCTCAACAGCAGTTTTGGTGGGAAAAATGTAGTATTAATGGCCACAGCTTGCTAAAGGGACGAATGGACAAAATAGTCACACAAAACACATCTGGAACAAGTTTTTGGCTTACATTTGAGACCTTTTGTCTAAGCATTGCAGAAATGTTTGCAAAAGGGTCTTTTTGCAACTTATTTTTGAGTATTCATTGAATGGTATAAAAATCAATTCTTTTTTTTAATTTTAAGGTATTTTTTGGGCTGTTTTGTCATTATTTTCATATATATATATATATATATATATATATATATATATAATACTGTATTCGGTTCATGAAAATGAATCAAACTTTCCAACTAATCATTTTTGCTATTGAAGGCTAAATCAGAAACACTCTTAAAAGATGGATCTTTTTGATTGGTTTAAAAAAAAAAAACATCTCAAGACACAACTTAATACAAACATCTAATTATTACACAGTGTACAGAAAATGTACAGCATGAAGACTGAAAAAAAACTAAAGGCAAGAATAATACATGTATATTTTAATTACGTGATGTGAAATTAATTTTATTTAAAATGCTTTTATATCATTATTTATGAAAATATAGTGCAATTTCTTTTAATTACTGTGTCCTTACTGGTTGAAATATATGCTTTTGTGTGCTGAATTGTGTTGTGAATTCAAAACTTGCAGTACTGTATCAAAAATAGTGGTGAAACTTTGCAACCGCAAATGCCTATTGTTGCAATCTTGCTACGTTTTTCTATGTTTTATACCAATGCAAATTTGAATGAAATGACTTTAATCACTAATGGCTTCTCACAGGCATGTTTGAGGGTGAAACAAAACAAAAAATCACTTCAATGGTTAAATAAAGGGAAATTGGGTTTGGAAATGTGATTTGGAAATGTATTTATGTTGTTGATCAATATGTTTTATCTTTTATCTTCAATGGATAAATAGCAGAAATAATACTGATATATTGTAAATACCTCTAATTAGAATTCTTCAAAATCCTTCTTTTTGTGTTGTTTTTTATTAGCATGGGCCCAAGCTGGCTCTGTATCTGTACGAGCTGTTACACGATCACAAAGACGCCCTGAGCAAAGAAGAGCAGGTGTCTGCCAACACCTTCATGACGGCGCTGAAACTCTGCGGCCACCGCTGCATCCCGCCCAGCGCTCCCGCCAAACCAGACCTCCTCAAAGCCATCAAAGAGGTGCGCATGGCCAGACACACTCTCTGAGGTTATACGCTGTTTGGTTAAAACAAGCTTAAACAACAGCGCGAGAACGTGGGTTGATTCCCAGGGAATGCATCAACTTGAATTCAGTGTAATTGCAAAGATATTTTATTCAGTGAAAAAGTATGAAAATGCTTAATATGTCTAGCTGTGGAACAAGCAATATTCAGTCGGTTAAAATGTATGAGACTTATACAAATTGGATTTATTGATGATACATACATAAAGCTGGTTGTGTATTTAAAAAACATTCAGTTTATTAGTATAATTACAGAAATCTGACCTGTTTCATTTATGCATGGCTGACAATTATGCATCACATCAAACAGATGAAAATTTTAAATGCAACTTAAATGCATACATTTTACATTTAGGCCTACTTGTTGTTTGAGTGTGGATAAAAGCATATTTCAAATGCATACATGTAAATGTAAAACTGGAGCAATATGTAAAACATGTCAAATATGCATGTAAAACTGGAGCAAACACATAGTAATTTATATATTCATTTGTTAGTCTTTTATTTGCTGAGGTTGATTCTACTGGTTTCTCGAGTAATAAAGGTCATTTTCTGCACATTTTAGCATTTTAGTTTACCCCTACGGCCTACATATAATATTAGTCCAGGTTCGCATGAGCCTTTTTTTGCAGTTTAGTTGTACTGTGAATGCTAGCAATATGACTACTTTTAAATAGTCTGTAGTTCTGAATTGCTCAGATGAAGTGTTTGCGTCTTATTAATGTTCATCTGAAGCTGTTTTACTATTCCTTATTAAGGAGCAACTGAAATACGAGTCAGAAGCAAGAACCAGCAAAGGAGCCTGGGAAAAGAAGCTGGCTAACACACAGAGGAGGTGAGCGCTTCGAGAGAAACACAAAATCTCAAAATAACACATGCCTTTTGCATTTTTCTGAGCTCTTCCGTTCTCCGTTTCAGCCTGTTGCAGAGGCTGGATGGGAAGTCGAAAGACATCTCGAAGATCGCCGCTGACGTCACTCAGAACGTGTCTCTGAGGCAGGGGATGGAGCGGAAGAAGGTCATGCAGCACATCAGAGGCCTTTATAAAACCGACCTGAGCGCCAGCCGCCACTGGCAGGAGCTCGTGCAGCAGCTCACCCACGACCGGTCAGAATCACTCACTGGAGCGCCACAACTAAAATAGTTCACTCATGTCATCATTTATTCATCCTCATGTTGTTTCAAACCTGTATGATGTTGTTTTTTCCCACGGAACAGGGCGGTGTGGTATGATCAGTCATCTTACCCCACTTCCTGGCAGCTGGATTCCACCGAGGGGCCCAACCGAGAGCGGAGACGCCTGCAGCGCTGCTACCTGACCATCCCTAACAAATATCTGCTCAAAGACCGACACAAACTAGATGGTGAGCTTCCAGCCCTCTGACTGGAGAAAACACTTAAAACTAGACTCTCTACAGTGTATTTTCATGATGCAGTTTGTTTAATCAAAAGCATAAACAAATGGCAAAATCTTTCAAGAACATGTCTGGGTCATTTTTCACCCCAAAATAAGTAAGTAAATAAATATATACAGTATAAGTAAATTAATTGGTAAATAAGTAAATGTAATAATTAAATAAAATTAACAATTATTTATTAATTAGCAATTTATTTATTTACTTATGCACTCATTAATTTTTAAGTAAATGAGTATATTTAATAATTAAATAAAATGAATAAGTATATAAGTAAATAAACATACAAGTAAATAAAATAAAAGGTAAATAAATAATTACTAAGCAAATAAGTACATAAGTACATTTAATAAGTAATTAAGTTAAATGAATAAGTAAATAAATAAGGAAATTACTAAGGAAATAAGAATTACCAAGCAAATAAATTAATAAGATAGTAAGTAAATAAATAAATTACTAAGTAAATAAGTAAAATAATCAGTAAGTGAATAAGTAAATATGTAAATAAATAAATAAAATAAATTGTACTTTTTTACACTTCGGGACGAAATGTGATCTGCATGTGCTTTCTAGATGACCAAATGCGTATGACAGTAACACAAAATTACCAAAAACCTGTAATACTATGGTATTCTTTCAAATACGTTGGAGTGCTGTTTAATCAGAATGGTTTATGAATGTTAATCATACAGTGTTATCATCCGATACCATCATTGTACCATGATAGCACCGCAGTACTGCCTGTACAGAAAGTGGTTGCTGGAATGACAGAACTTTGCCAGAACTTAAAAACTCTTAACGCTTTTGATGCTGTTGGTTTTATTGGTCTCATGCATGTGGTTTGTCCGTCACAGATGCCATCAAGGCTCCTCTGGCCTTCCTGTTTGAGGACAAAACTCATTCCTCTTCATCCATAGTGAAGGACAAAGCCACCAGTGAGCCCATCAGGTACTCACACAACTCCCGTCTCACTGCACAACTAGTAACTAGTCTGTTTTCAGACTCACATTGCAGAATTTCAAAGAATTAAAAAACTTCTGTTTAGGTTTACGAGAAAGTGTGTAAGTGTGGCGCCCTCTAGAGAGATGGCAGGAGAGCTGTTGCTGGGTAAGACTCGTCCACCCTCCATAACATCAGTCTTGCGTTGGCTGTTAATTGTCTTCACATCTTGTTTTATGGGTCGGCAGGAAAAACTGGGATGTACTTTGTGGAGGATAATGTTGCAGAGACACTTGATAACCAAGTAAGTTATTTTGCTAAATGTTAGGAATATACGGTTCTATGTAATAGTAAAAATTATTCATTCAGTTATCGTGAACAATCTGATCTTTTACTTTTTGTCCATAAAAAAAATTAATTCACTGAATTATTCAAAAAAATAGGCTTTACCACCTTATTATTATTATTATTATTATAAAATCCTGTGTATTTTAGTATCATTGATATACTATTATTGTTTTTGTTAAAATTTTAAAGTAGATTTAATTAGTATATTTTGTACTTTCACCTTAGTTTTTGTAATTTTGTTGTGTGTTTTTGTCATTTTTATTATTATTCATTTTTTTACAACCCCAATTCCAGAAAAGTTTGGACGTTTTGTGAAATGCCATAAAATCAAGAATATGATATTTGTTCATTCTAATCAAATTTAGATTTTGATGGCTGCAGCACACTCCAAAAGTTGGGACAGAGGCATGTTTACCAACTTTCCTTTTAATTACAATTTTTACAAAACATTTTAATTGTTTGTGAATTGAGGATACTAATTGTTAAATTTTGCAAGTAAAATTTTTGTCCAATCTCGCTTGTTGCAAGACTTCAGATGCTCAGCAGTCTGTGATCGTTGTTGTCTGATTCTCCTTTTCATGACTGGCCATACCTGTTCAATAGGAGACCGATCTGGACTGATCAGACACATTCACTCTGTGTCTTCGAAACCACGCTGTTGTAGCACATTCAGAATGAACCTGCCATTGTCTTGATCTCATAGCCATGGACTTCCCATGACAGACGTCATCTAGATGGCAATATGCGTTTCTGTACAATCCCAATATATGCCTCCATGTCAACGGTACCTTCCCATACCATGACAGACGTTTGCTTTCTGTCGCTGATGAAAATCTGGATGGTCCCTTTGGTCTTTGGGACAGAGTATGTGAGCGGAGTGGAGCGGCAACAATTTCCCCTCCGCGCTTCTGAAGTTCTGTTCAGAAATTATATTAAACGAGAAAAAAATGCATAATACTAGAAGAATAGTTTTAACATGGTTTATTGGAACACTAGCCCAAGTACATATTAAATGACTGCTTAACTCGCTTAACTTACTTGTCTGTGCAACGTCTCTCTACTATGGCGAAGCTGAGGGTGGGTACTTCAGAAACAGAAAGAATATGATGTAACTTTTCCGTTTTTAAGCTGATAAATCACAGGACAGTGTTGACCAAATTTTCTGAATGTATGCGCGCGATCTGTACGTTGCGAGCTTGTGTGTTCTGTCCATGTGCAGCAATGTAGCAGCACATTAGTTTTGAGCGGAGATTAACAAACTACAACTTACAACATGCTTTAACCTCCCGCACTCGTCCATCGCCATTTTAACCTTCATATGTGATCCACATATCTGTCAAGCTAACTAATTATGTTTAATGCGTGAGTTGGCATAATTTGTGCTCGTGACGGAGCGAGTGAAAACCTCAACGCTCCAACTTTCGAAAAATCCGCTCCTAGCTCCAGGCAAAATCACTCCGCTCCGCTCACATACTCTAACTGAGAACTTGACGTCCATTGTGGACTTATCTGAGCACAGCACACATTTCCACTGTCTTTTTGACTATCTGAGATGAGCTCTGGCCCAGAGAACCCCGCGGCATCACTGCATAGAATCCATGTATAGCTTTCTCCTCGAGTAACAGAGATTCAGGTTGCATTTATTGATGCAGCGGCAGACTGTCTTAAGTGACAGTGGTTTTCTGAAGTACTTCTGAGCCCATGTGTTTCCTGCCTTGCCCTACACAGACTGAGATTTCTCTGGATTCCCTGAATCTTTTCACAATATTATGTATGGTAGTTGGTGAAAGACCTAAATTCTTTGTGATTTTGCATTGAGAAATGTGATTTTTGATTTGTTTGACACTTCTCGTGAAATTTGGCACAAAGGGATGAGCCGTGATCCAGCTTTGCTTGCAAAGACTGAGATGCTCCTTTTATACCCAAACATGACACCCTCACCTATTACCATTCACCTGCTTACTGTGAACTTTCAAAACAGTTTAACATGGATATTCTATAACCTTCTCACTTTTATTTTGCTTCTGTCCCATCTTTTTTGGAGTGTGTTGCAGCCATCAAAATCTAAATTTATTTATATTTACAAAATACATTTCAGTTGGTCAGTGAAAACTTTGGAAATCTTTTCTTTGTACTTTTGTTAATTAAATAAAAGTTAAAGATAATTAACAAATCACAGATTCTTGATTTTACTGCATTTTACAAAACTTCCCAACTTTTCTGGAATTGGGGTTGTAATATGTCTGTATAGTTTTAGTTTATTTTGTTTGTTATTTTAGTACTTCAACTTAAATTAAACAAAAATATGGCAACATAAAATAAGTTATGCCTTTTTATTTTATTTCAGTTAATGTTTATTTTATTAGTCATTGTTTAGTTTTAGTGAACAATAACCAATTTTCTTTTTTTCCCAGCAACTAAATGTTTTTTTATATGATTTTATTCATAATATATATTTTAAAAAATTATTATTTCTAATATGAATGAATAAATAAATAATGTGATTTTAATAAAAATTGTTAAGTTTACTAAACTATTACTCACAGTATACACTGTGTATTTTTATGCTTGTGGGAGTATCATTTATTTTTCTCTATTAAAATCAGTCCTAGCCCAAGTACATATTAAATGACTGCTTAACTCGCTTAACTTACTTGTCTGTGCAACGTCTCTCTACTATGGCGAAGCTGAGGGTGGGTACTTCAGAAACAGAAAGAATATGATGTAACTTTTCCGTTTTTAAGCTGATAAATCACAGGACAGTGTTGACCAAATTTTCTGAATGTATGCGCGCGATCTGTACGTTGCGAGCTTGTGTGTTCTGTCCATGTGCAGCAATGTAGCAGCACATTAGTTTTGAGCGGAGATTAACAAACTACAACTTACAACATGCTTTAACCTCCCGCACTCGTCCATCGCCATTTTAACCTTCATATGTGATCCACATATCTGTCAAGCTAACTAATTATGTTTAATGCGTGAGTTGGCATAATTTGTGCTCGTGACGGAGCGAGTGAAAACCTCAACGCTCCAACTTTCGAAAAATCCGCTCCTAGCTCCAGGCAAAATCACTCCGCTCCGCTCACATACTCTAACTGAGAACTTGACGTCCATTGTGGACTTATCTGAGCACAGCACACATTTCCACTGTCTTTTTGACTATCTGAGATGAGCTCTGGCCCAGAGAACCCCGCGGCATCACTGCATAGAATCCATGTATAGCTTTCTCCTCGAGTAACAGAGATTCAGGTTGCATTTATTGATGCAGCGGCAGACTGTCTTAAGTGACAGTGGTTTTCTGAAGTACTTCTGAGCCCATGTGTTTCCTGCCTTGCCCTACACAGACTGAGATTTCTCTGGATTCCCTGAATCTTTTCACAATATTATGTATGGTAGTTGGTGAAAGACCTAAATTCTTTGTGATTTTGCATTGAGAAATGTGATTTTTGATTTGTTTGACACTTCTCGTGAAATTTGGCACAAAGGGATGAGCCGTGATCCAGCTTTGCTTGCAAAGACTGAGATGCTCCTTTTATACCCAAACATGACACCCTCACCTATTACCATTCACCTGCTTACTGTGAACTTTCAAAACAGTTTAACATGGATATTCTATAACCTTCTCACTTTTATTTTGCTTCTGTCCCATCTTTTTTGGAGTGTGTTGCAGCCATCAAAATCTAAATTTATTTATATTTACAAAATACATTTCAGTTGGTCAGTGAAAACTTTGGAAATCTTTTCTTTGTACTTTTGTTAATTAAATAAAAGTTAAAGATAATTAACAAATCACAGATTCTTGATTTTACTGCATTTTACAAAACTTCCCAACTTTTCTGGAATTGGGGTTGTAATATGTCTGTATAGTTTTAGTTTATTTTGTTTGTTATTTTAGTACTTCAACTTAAATTAAACAAAAATATGGCAACATAAAATAAGTTATGCCTTTTTATTTTATTTCAGTTAATGTTTATTTTATTAGTCATTGTTTAGTTTTAGTGAACAATAACCAATTTTCTTTTTTTCCCAGCAACTAAATGTTTTTTTATATGATTTTATTCATAATATATATTTTAAAAAATTATTATTTCTAATATGAATGAATAAATAAATAATGTGATTTTAATAAAAATTGTTAAGTTTACTAAACTATTACTCACAGTATACACTGTGTATTTTTATGCTTGTGGGAGTATCATTTATTTTTCTCTATTAAAATCAGTCCTGAATCAAGCGTCCCATGCGTTAGTCATGTATAAGACACTATTTCAGTTAGCATGCTACCTTAGAAGACAGCTGCCTACATAAGCAAGGTTTTGGAACAAAGCCTTCTTCATTCTACACATGTATAACACTCTTTGATCTCTCATTTGTATCCATAAAGCATAGCATTGCAGCTGTCATTGGATGTGTGCAAGTGTAACTAACAGTGATTTTTATTTATTTATTTTTTATTTATACTACTGTGAAGTTACTCATAACATGATATAAGTTTGGCCATACCACCCCTAATAGATTTGATGAGGCATATGTATGTTTAGAGGTTGATAATGTGTCTTCACACCAGAGTCCACATGGCGAGATGGAACCGGCCTCCTTCTCCTGGACGTATGAGGAGATAAAGGAGGTTCACAAGCGCTGGTGGCAGCTCAGAGACAATGCTATGGAGATCTTCCTCACCAACGGCAGGACGCTGCTGCTCGCGTTTGATACCACCAAGGTAACGACATCGCTGTCAAACACATGAGCATTAGCTGCTGAATGATTTATTATGTGCAATTCAGTAAATTCCTCTTCATGTCATTCCCATGTCAATTCTGCCCAACTCTTAACGTCTGGTTTATCCTCTCTCTGGTCTCCATCTCAGTTCCGCGACGACATCTACCGCAACATCCTGAGCTCAGAGCTGCCCAACCTACTGGAGTACGGAAACATCTCCGCCCTCACGCACCTGTGGAGCTCAGGACAGATAACCAACTTCGAGTACCTCACCCACCTCAACAAGCACGCGGGCCGCTCCTTCAACGACCTCATGCAGTATCCCGTCTTCCCCTTCATCCTGCGAGACTACACCAGTGAGACACTGGACCTGCAGGACACCTCCATTTACAGGTCAGAACCAACCCTGCATCAACATCGTTACTGTATTTGTGTGGTGTTTTTCGGTAGTGATAACCTGATATACCTGATATTTAACAATCCCATATTTTTTTTCCATATATTATTGTAAATATTTTATATTTAAAATATTATAAAAAAAACTGATACATTTAATATTTTAGATTTTATTTTTTATTTTTTTTATTATATTTAAATAGGTGACGGGAAGTCACTGTCTTTGTCACTGAATCATTCATTCAGTCGATTGGTTCAAACAGCTGATTCATTCAGGAATGAAGCAAGTGACTGTTCAAAAAGATTCATTCAAAAATTATTATTATTGCTCTGTTTATGTGCGTAGGCTATTGAATGAATAAAACGTAGAAATCCCTTTCATTTCCCAAAAAAATCTAACCAGTTGGAGCTGGAACGTCGTCCCCCCTCGAAATTCACTCCCCGGACTCCGTCCCCCGCGTCCCCCCCCATTTCCATCCCTGGTTAGTGTAGCAAAACCATCGTTAATTTGTTGTTACCATGGATTAACTATAGTAACCATAGGTTTTTTTTTGTTTTTTTTCATTTTCTTAAAAATGGTTTAAAGGATGAGATGTGAAGGCCATGATCCTTAAACTTTGTTTTTGTGAAAACCTGTATCTGAACTGTAAATCATGCTTTTTGCAATCATTTTACAGTTTAATGTTATCATAGATACTGCCCTTCCCTGCTTATATGGTATTCATTTTATTTGTGCAAGTCTTAAAAAAAAAAAAAGTATTTTTAAAAAATTAGAGCTTTTTTTAACTAATATCCTGCAGAAACCCTGTTTGTGCTATAGTGGTTACTGTTCTTTAATTTTGATCACTGTGTTTGCCACAAAATAAAGGTTTTTGTTGCAAATATATTTGTATGTAGAAATAGAAATGGATTATACATAAAATATAATATAAAATAAAATATTTTTGTATTTTTAAATGTCATATTTATAGATATATATGTGGTGAAAAGATGTAGTCGATCAATATGGAATTTGCGTACTTTCATTTGTACTATTTTATTGCTTTTAATATAGATATATTAGTATTGCATTCAGTTTTGCTTTCTATTTGTCTTTTTGATGTAACAGGTACCTCAGCAAACCCATCGCAGTGCAGTCTAAAGAGAAGGAAGACCGTTATGTGGACAATTACAGGGTACTGCAGGCTCTAATTCCTGTTTACAGCATTGCCTGTTAACCAATCACACTGTGGCTCTGTTCCAAAACCTGCTGAGCTGCCTACATAGGCAGCATTTTTAGGCATTTCCAGCATGAAGGCCTTTCCAAACAGTAGGTGGCAACATTATGTTGCCTTCTAAGATATCTTCTTCTGGCCAAATTCTGACGTAGCATCGTAAGTGTCCTTGGCAGAAAAGGCAATCCCAAAAATGAATTCCAACAACCACATTATTATAAATAATAATATATATTATAATTTTTAATATCTATTATTTTATTATATATATATATATATATATATTTATATAAGGGATGCTCCGATCAGGATTTTTGCAGCCGGTACTAAGTACCGATTTCTTGTCATGGTTATCGGCCGATGCCGATTCTGATGCTTCAAGCTTTAGGTTTCATCGGGTGCACGTGCCTGGCCCAAAGTTAACTTCCGGTCTGTGTTTGTTTTATCAGTCTGGCTATGGCGCCGGCTGAAAACACAGTTAAAGTTAAGGTGATGAGTAGACTGAAGTTGGGCTCAGGTGGTTGTGCTGTGGGATGTTTCTCCCATACATTTGTTTATTTGTGGCGCTTGCCACAATATCAAAACTGACCGATTTTCCAAAAGGCTTCGTTGAATAAACATGAGCACGTACTGCACATTAAAAAATCAAAACGAGGCTTTTTATATCGGTGTATTATGTATATATTTTATTTTATATTATATTATATATAGGTGTTTTTATATCACTGTATTTCTGAAGGAAGACTATATTTAGAAAAATGTTCTGTCATTTTCATTTCATCTGGCAAGTTATATGCCTGATAAAGCAGAGTTTGTGAGCTCAGCGCTGCTTTGTGTAACTTACAGCCGTTACTGGGGAAACCACTGTTTCTCCCGCTGGCAGAGAATGAATTTGCATTTTCAGTAAGTCAGTGACAGAAACGGTGACATTCCAGATAAAATTTGCTCAGCTCCGGTGCCTGTGGAGCCGTAACGCGCTGTAGACGTGTGCAGTGAGGCGCAGATCAGCTCTAGCGTCACTGAATCTGCTGTTAAAAATGAACCATCCATTCATCGTCATGCAAAACATACACAACAAATAGCGAATTTTTCATTGTTTCTCGAAACGTCGTAGCATTTCCACACCGGTGATGACATGACTGCGGCGCCAAATAATTTATGTTCCCACGCATCATGTACGTCGTCACGCGTTGACGTCCGATCGAGTCATGAAATGTGATTATCGGTCGATGCCGATCAATCGGAGCATCCCTAATATATATTATTATTTATAATATTAACTAAATTATTAAATAATAATGTGATTTTAATAAATATCGTTACAATTTTACTCAGATTACTCCATATTGTTCTCAATATACAGTATATGCTGTGTATTTTTATGCTTGTGGCAGTATCATTTAATTTTCTCTATTAAAATCATTGTTTTTAAAATGATTGTGAATCAAGCGTCCCATGCATTAGTCATTTATAAGACACTAATTCAGTTAGCATGCTACCTTAGAAGACAGCTGCCTACATAAGTAAGGTTTTGGAACACAGCCTGTTTCATTCTACACATGCATCATTTGTATCCATAATGCGTTGCATTACTGCTTCATGAGCCTCCATGTTTAGTGTCATTAGTGTGTGTAAGTGTAACTAACATTGATTTCCTCCACAGTATCTGGAGGAGGAGTATAAGAAAGGCAAGAGAGAGGACGACCCCATGCCCCCCGTCCAGCCCTATCACTACGGCTCTCACTACTCCAACAGCGGCACCGTCCTGCACTTCCTCGTCCGGCTGCCACCCTTCACCAAGATGTTTCTGGCCTATCAAGGTCAGTTTGACTTTTAAAAAAAACTTTCAAAATCATTTATCCTTTAGTCCAAACTTATTCCATGCAGATTCAAAATGTTTCATGTAAAAACTAAAGCAGTAAGAATGTTTCCACACTATTTTTCACTAAATGAACACCAAGAATGATAATTAACCCTACAAAGCTATTTTAGTGTAAACTCAAACGTCCACCTTCAGCTTTACTGATTTTATGAAGTAAATGTAAGAATAACTTTGATATTGTACAGATGAACACTTACTGACTGAAGCAGCTCGGCTTTACTTGCTTATCCATGAAAAGTCTTCAAAAGTCTCAAATATGATCATCAAGATTTTGAGGAGCGTTTATTTGTTCATCTCTCAATCATCATTGTATTGCATTATATGCTTTGAACATAAAACTAAGCATTTAAATATCATCTTACTAAGACATTATTGGCGATATAGAGTGACAACTGATTAATTAATTTTTTTAATAATTTTATGTAAGTATCTGCTGTACTGTTATAAAGATCTCATTGATTTACATTACAAGCATCAGAATTTCATCACTCTTTGGCCATATATAAATATCAGCATCTGCACTAAATTGCATATTTTTCTTTTTTTTGTTTTGTTTGAGCCTCTGAATAAAATTTAGCTGTTTTTTAGATGTCAAAGAGCTCATCCCAGAGTTCTTCTACCTGCCAGAGTTTCTGGTCAACAGAGAAGGTGGGCGCTCTTTGACTCCTGGTTTTCTTGACCTCTTCTTCTAGCACTCAACTTCTCATGAGATCTAATGATAAAAATGTAGGACCTATGAAGCCCCCCCCCCCCCCCGCCGCTCCCAAATTCCATTTAAAGTTTTTCTAGATTCGGTTTTAATGGTTAAATTCAATTTTAGTAATCAAAAAGCATGTCTAATTAGTAGAAATCATAAAACTTACACAATTTAACAACAATTTATTAAAAGTTTAACAATAATTAAATTTTTAGGGACATAAGAAATCAATTTCATTGATTGATTGATTAACTGATTGAAAATTCTATTTTATTTTTTCTAGTGCTGTCAAATGATTAATCGCGATTAATCTCATCCAAAATAAAAGTTTGTTTACATAATATATATGTGTGTGTACTTTGTATATTTATTATGTATGTAGAAATACACACACATGTATATATTTATATAATTTATATTATGTATAAATATATTTAATATATAAACATATTTTCCTGAAATATATACTGTATGTGTGTGCATTTATATATACATAATAAATATGCACAGTATATATGTAGATCAAAGCCTGCCAAAAACATGTCCAGATCATATTTCAACCCAAAGTCAAAAAAAGAAAGAAAATGGAAGAATTTATATTTTGCTTAGGTTTTTATGACCATTAGATTACATGCACTACCATTCAAACATTTAAGGATGGTATGATTTTTTAAATGTGTGACAGTATTTTCTGCTCACCAGGGCTGCATTTATTTGGTCAAAAATACAGTAAAAACTGTGAAATGTTATTACAAATTAAAATAAACGTTTTCTATGTGAATATATTGTAAAATGTAATTTATTCCCGTGTTCGAAGCTGAATTTTCAGCATCATTACTCCAGTCTTCAGTGTCACATGATCTTCAGAAATCATTCTAATATGCTGATTTGCTGCTCAAGAAACATTTCTGATTATTGAATGGTAGTGTATATATCAGCGTAAAGATATATCAGCCAGAAATGTATGTTTCTCTAATCCAGCAGATGTTGATAAACCATATCAGACTTGTCCACCCGCCTTGGCCTGTCAACTAGTATCTAACTCATCTTTCCTCTCCCTCTCTTTTTAGACTTACTTTGGCATGGACGTATCTGCCGTTGAAGACCCTGTGCAGCGTCGGGCTCTAGAAACTATGATCAAGACGTACGGCCAAACACCCAGACAGCTGTTCAACGGTTTACATAATATATATGTGTGTGTACTTTGTATATTTATTATGTATGTAGAAATACACACACATGTATATATTTATATAATTTATATTATGTATAAATATATTTAATATATAAACATATTTTCCTGAAATATATACTGTATGTGTGTGCATTTATATATACATAATAAATATTCTGCCTCATGATGATCTACAGCAAAGAGCAAGGTGAAGGAGAACACACACAAACCTGCTTCATCATGCTTAAATATGAAATTATTGCATTTAGTAAGATCTTATGAAAGAAATTAATACTTTTATTCAACAATGATGAACTAAGTTGATCAAAAGTGACCGTAAAGACAAAATGTTAGAAAAAAATCCTATTTTTAAATTGATGCTGTTCTTTTGAACTTTCTATTCATCTGTGAATCCTGAAAAATAGCATGTATCCCGGTTTTCACAAAAATATTGGGCAGCACAACTGTTTTCAACATTGATAATAATCAGAAATGTTTCTCGAGCAGCAAATCAGCATATTAGAATGATTTCTGAAGATCATGTGACACTGAAGACTGGAGTAATGATGCTGGAAATACAGCTTTGAGCACAGAAATAAATTACATTTGACTATATATTCACATAGAAAAGTTTGGTAATATTTCACAATATTACTGTTTTTACTGCATTTTTAAAAAATCAAATAAATAATAATAAATCAAATAATGACTTCAAAAACATTTTAAAAAATTTGACCCCAAAATTTTGAATGGTAGTGTTTATGATTTTCAGATGCGCTCCAGATGTATTTAGTGCATTTTCGTTTATTTATCTATGTTTGTACATTTATTAGCAGATGTTTTTATTCAGTAAAGCAGATGTTAATGCCAAATGTAAAAAAAAAAAAAGCTTTTTCTGTTTTAATGGGAAAAGCAGGCACAGTTTATCAAACAACAGCCATAATTTTAAAATGAAAATATTGAATGATTAATCAGCTCAGCTATGTATCAGCCAATTACTAATCTTGACTATGTTTTGGTCCATGACCAGTTGCTTTTATTGCATCTGCATTCGTGTCTTATCAGTTATCCACACGAATGAACACAGTTCCCATTGTACGAGAGGAAATGAAAATGAGTGAATGTGCTGTCGTAGAAAATCACCTCACAGAACAAATGAAGTGTTTTCCCCTTGTCTCTTAGGTGTAAGGAGCATGCACAGCACCGACATACAGTGGTCGGCTATTCTGAGCTGGGGTTACACCGACAACGTGCTGCGTCTGAAGAGCAAACAGAGCGAGCCGCCTATCAACTTCATCCAGTGCTCACCGCTGCACCAGGTCAGAGCCAGAAA